ATCTGCTGCCGATTCCATGAGCGCAGCCCAGGACTTTCCCAGGACCTGCCCTGCAGCCTCGGTGGTGTCATAAGCATTACTGGGGGTAGTGCCATAGTGGTTTTGCATGTATTTGTACATATTTAATTATTTTCCTTTTCATCATTACTGTTTCACTAAAGCTGTGGAGTTCAGTTTCCAACTCTTAAGTCTCTCTCCTTTATTCTCTTTCCTTTGCCTTCTAGGTAGGGAGAGAGGTTAATAGAGAGCATCTGTGATTTGTTAAATTGCCTGCCCAGTTAAACCTTGACAGGTAAGAAGAAAGGAATTGCTCTTACAAGCAGCTGGGAACAGCACTGCAGAGACAGCTCTGCTTTTTTGCCTTACTGGTCATGATCCTTAGTAGATGATTGCTTGCCACAAAAGTGAAGTAACATGTATCTTTGCTCCAGAATAAGGAAAAACTATCCTTCTCTGTGCTGCCCATGAAAGATGCAGCCACCAAATTCTTTATACCCTATGGCAGTTAATAGCTGCGTCTGCCTGGGTACTTGTCACCTGAAGCTTCTGAACAGGTTTGGCAGAGCACCCAGCTGGCAAGCAGAGCCCCAGAGAGCAGCTTTCCTGTACCCACTCCTTTTGGTTTCAGTGGACGAGGGATCACCTCCTGGCTGGGAGTGCAGGATGAAACAGTGAGTACACTGCAGGGTGTGTGCACAGCATCACAGGGTACCATGAGTTCCTGCTGTATGGTGCCCTGGATGGAGCCAGGACAGCTTGTCTCCTAAGAGAAGGAGCTATCAGGGCTGAGAAGCACTGATCCTGTTGGGTGCATCGACAAGGAGAGCTTGCCATCTGCTGGAAAGCGATCAGCATTGACAGGCAACAGTCTGGCAAGAGCTTTTGGGCGTGTAAGAACAGGGAAAGGGCCTGTGACAGCAGTCCCTGGAGAGCTGGATGGCACCTGGGCTTGCAGGGAGAGGAGGAAGGGCACCCTCTGATGGGAGTAAGCACACAGCAGGCAGTACCAAGCACCAGTCTTGGGCAGATGAGGTCTGACAAACCTCACCGCAGGGTTTTAACATACTACCACTCCCCTTGAGCCCTCCTTGGAGGTACCCATCCTCATTGCAAAGGTAGCAGAAGGGATTAAGTGTTTGTGTGACTAATGTATCTTGACTCATTCACTAGGACAGAGCAGAGAGCTGGCATGGTGGCACCTTGCATCTTCACAGCATGATTTGCCAGTGTGTCCATCGAGCTGTCTGTGTGCTGTTCACAGCTTCTCCCACCACCCCCTACACCAGTGAGACACTTCCCTCCCTTTGACATGTCCTCAGGCTTCAGCCTTTTGTTACATCACCAGCACATCTAGCCTGACAGCCATCAAGCATCATGCCGCTCCCAACTGCACCAGCTCCCAGGAACACACATCCAGATGCAGGGTCCTCAGTTTTCCCAATGAGATTTTATTAATGTCTAGGAGGATATAAGCAGATCTCCAGCACAAGGGATTGAAGAGCTGGTCTACAGACAGGTGGACCAAACCTCCTGTAGCAATACAGGTACCTCTGGGTATAAGTTGTATTAGGACACTGTATGACATTGCTTATGTTATTATTAGAATCATAGAATCATTAAGGTTGGAAGAGACCTTAAAGATCATCAGGTTCCAACCCCCCTGCCATAAGCAGGGAACCCTACCACTAGACCAGGTTGCACAAAACCTCATCCAACCTGGCCTTAAAAACCTCCAGGGCTGGGGCAGCAACAGCCTCCCTGGGCAACCCATTCCAGTTCCTCACCACCCTTATAGTGAAGAATTTCTTCCTAATATCTAACCTGTATCTCCCCTCTCTCAGTTTAAAACCATTACCCCTGTCTTCTCTGATGAAAAAAACCCTGCCCAGTTTTCCTGTAGGCCCCTTTCAAGTACTGGAAGGTGCTATAAGGTCTCCCCAGAGCCTTCTCTTCTCTAGGCTGAATAGCCCCAACTCTCTCACCTTGTCTTCATAGCAGAGGTGCTCCAGGCCTTGGATCATCTTGGTGGCCCTTCTCTGGACCCTTTCCAACAGGTCTGTATCTTTCTTGTGCTGAGGGCCCCAGAACTGTACACAGAACTCCTGGTGGGGTCTGACCAGAGCAGAGGGGCAGAATCATCTATCTCCCTGGTTCTGCTGGCCACATTTCTTTTGATGCAGCTCAGGACACAATTGGCTCTCTGGGCTCTAGCACACACTGGCGGCTCATCAACTACCACCCTTAAGTCCTTCTCCTCAGGACTGCTCTTCAGCCATTCTCCCTCCAGCCTGTATTCATGCCTCAGGTTGTGCCGACCCAGGTGCAGGACCTTGCACTTGGCCTTGTTGAACTTCATGAGGTTGGCACCGGCCCACCTCTCCAGCCTGCCAAGGTCCCTCTGGGTGGCATCCCTTCCCTCTTGGGTGTCAACCACACCACACATTTGGCATCATCTTCAAATTTGCTGAGGATACACTCAATCTCACTGTCCATGTCTCCAACAAAGATATTGAACAGCACTGGTCCCAGTACTGACCCCTGAGGGACACCACTTGTCACTTGCCTCCATTTGGACATTGAGCTATTGACCACAACTCTCTGGGTGCAGCCATCCAGCCAATTTCTTATCCACTGAGTGGTCCATCTGTCAAATCCATGCCTTGTCAGTTTGGAGACGTGTCAACCACACTACACAGCTTGGTATCATCAGCAGATCTTCTGAGGATACACTCAATCTCACTGTCCATATCTCCAACAAAGATGTTAAACAGCACTGGTCCCAGTGCTGACCGGAGGGACACCACTTGTCACCTGCCTCCATTTGGACATTAAGCCATTGACCACAACCCTCTGGGTGTGGCCATCCAGCCAATCTCTTATCCACCGAGTGGTCCATCTGTCAAATCCATGTCTTGTCAGTTTGGAGACCAGGATGTCATGTGGGACAGTGTCAAACACCTTGCACAAATCCAGGTAGATATGTCAGTTGCTCTGCCACCATCCACCATCTCTGTAGCCTTGTTGTAGAAAGCCACCACACTGGTCAGGCATGACTTGCCCTTAGTGAAGCCATGTTGGCTGTCACCAATCACCTCTTTATTTTCCATGTGCCTTAGCAGACTTTCAAGGAGGATCTGCTCCAGGACCTTGCCAGGCACAGAGGTGAGACTGACTGGCCTGTAGTTCCCTGGGTCTTCCTTTTTCCCCTTTTTAAAAATAGGGCCTATGTTCCCTTTTTTTCCAATCAGTGGGAACCTCACCAGACTGCCATTACCTCTCAAATATGATGGACAGAGGCTTAGCAATCACATCCACCAGCTCCCTCAGGACCCATGGGTGAATTCCATCAGGTCCCATAGATTTATGCACCTTCAGGTTCTTTAGATGGTCATGAACCTACTCTACACCTACAGTGGGGGGTAATTAATTCCCCCAGTCCCTGCTTTCACCTTCTGTGGCCTTTCTGTTGAGGTTGGAGCACTTGCCAGAGAAGGATAAAGCAAAGAAGTCATTGAGGACCTCAGCCTTCTCAATATCCCATGTTGCTACATTGCCCGTTTCCTTCAGGAGAGGGCCTACATCCTTAGATGTCCTTTTCTCCCCAACATACCTAAAGAAGCTTTTCTTATTGTTCTTAACATCCCTGGCAAGATTTAATTCAAGCAGGGATTTGGCTCTCCTCACCTGATCCCTAGCTGCCCAAAAGCCACATCAACCCTATTGGCCTGTTGTCCCAATGCTGCACTGGATGAGATGGTGCACAAGAGCAGGAGATTCAGAGAAAGCTTTGTGATATAATCTCCTGATGTAGAAAACACCATGGAAACTTGACAGTGTACAGACTGGGTTCTTGCCCTTTTAATTCCAAAGGCTAAGAAATAACAGTGGCAGCACCAATTGTCTTGATTTCCCTGTATTTCACGACAGGTGAGGCCCAAACTCATTTTAGGTATCAACTTATTTCTGGAAAGTGGCATTTACACATGACTTTTCTTTCCTAGCAGAGCCAGCTGCAAGCCTGCATGTGGTGAGCAGTTTTGGCACATCTGCCAAAGAAGAGGGTGCGGGACCTTCTCCTTCCTCTGGCTCAAGTTCCAGACATATTTCTTCAGCAGCAATATCACTTTAAGTAGCATTTGGTTGCAGGCTCTTACTTCCAAGCCTGCTGTACCTACTAAACCATCTGGTCCAAGTGTTGGTGTCACTTCACTGTAAACCAGATGGTGAAAATGATCCACATTAAAATAAACCAGCAAGACTCCCCCAAAAGAACAGTGTCTCAGGAAAATGATGAAGTAGGAGATACTGAATAAAAATGAGGTAGAAGTAACAGGTAAAGGTAGTGGCCTCAGTCTCTGATGTTTGTTTCTGACTGTTCCTATCAATAGTTCTCCTAATTTAGAGCACTGATGAGAAAATTGCTTTGATGAAGAGAATATCTCCAAACTTCTCTTCCCAAGTTCAGCCTGAATCTTGTGCTCTATTAAGTTTTCTGAAAGTCCCTGAACAAGGGCTTACTTAGACCATGTCTCGTAAGAAAACTTAGTGGAAACCATCAGCTGGGATTTCAGTGTAGGTTTGTGTGAAGCTCCAGGGATACTCCTGTTCTAAGTCTGGTCAGAATCAGATAGCCCCTCAGAAAAATAACAGGTTTTGCAATTCCAGATATGCTTCCAGATCAAAAACGCTCAAACCTATCTAGAGTGAGTCTCCTAAGGTTTTATTTAATAAATTATGAGGAAGGGTAAGAAAAGTTTCAGTCTAGTAATCCTCTAAAGGGGCCAGCAAAATCTAACCTTCGATTAGTGTGAAGATCTTCAAAATCGTTACCATGTCATTCTCTGCTGAGTAGCTCAAAACTGGCAGCCTCTCACAGAGCTCCTCGGCTTTAATTTACACATTACTCCATCTAGTGGCCTAAAGGTTCCAGCTTCCAAGAGCTTAAAACTCTGCCCTGGTACTAACTGGAACTCAAACCTCTGCAGCAGTTTTGCCATCACCACTTTCGCCTCCATCTGTTAAGAAATAAAGCAAACTTATTGTCAGTGACAGCAAATACTTAGTGTATTACATCATGCTGCTTTGTCAGTACAAAGATTTAGAACTTAAATTTTACTCTTAATGCAGTTGATTGAGCTTGGACAGGAAGAACAGTCTCCTGGGACTTCCTAGATTTGAAGACAACCAGCAGGCACAAAGATCTGACCCTGCGTTCATGTTTTAACCGTGTTTTGGAAATCAGAGGTAAAACCAAACAAATTAACCTTAAGATTTTGAGCACTGGTGCTTAAATGAACTCAACAGCACAGACCCAAAGAGCTGGCCTCCTACTGTCATTCTGAAATACTCTTTACCATGTTCAGGTAAACACATACTTCATTAGATTGTTGCTCCCATCCATGAAGCCCCATCCTCATCTTCTCAGTGCCAGTCCTGGCTTGTGCCCTTCTGCCAGCTGTTTTCCCTGCCTTGACTCTGCCAGATGCAGACACAGGATGGTTTCTAAGAGCCCCTGCACACCATCCTTGGCTGGCAAAGGGATGTTGACTGTGATTCTCATTAAGCGGTTTGGATCCAAGTAGGGTGACCCAGGACAAGTTAAAGGGAGAGCATCATTCTGTCACCTTGACTGCATTTGGCCACAGGTGATGTGGGACTAGTCTGGTACATGTAGATCTGCTCATGTGACAGCATTTGGGAGACATGCCCTGTCACAGGCATGGTGGGGTCTTCCCTCTAAAGAGAAGAGGGTCCACTGCACCATCAGTGTGGCCCTTGGTCCCCCACCACCTGCCATAGCCAGCACTTCCTGAGCTGGCCCAGTGCTTGCTACAAAGCATCATTCCAGGCCTCTGCTTACCTGTGCAAATGCCTGCCCGATGCAGGATCTGGGGCCCAGAGAGAATGGAAAATAGCAGTAATATGGCCTGCAAAGAAAAATGTTCAAATCTGTCATTCTGATGGCTTGGATTTACAGAAAAACACAAGTATTTCATCACAGTAGCAAGGAAATGGTCCAAATATCACCTCACCTACCTGACTTGTTAAGACAAGTATCTACAAATCAACTTGGGGTTTTTTGCTTCAAAGCAACAATACAGCTCTGCAGCAAGTTTCCTCATCAGCTCTGCTGACTACATAGCTCAGCTCACCGAGCTGCTTTGGTGTGTGCAAACCTTATTTCAAAGCTCAATGTCAAGGGTGCTCTAAATGCTCCCCAACCCATCATGGGGACATAATGATCCACCCAATTATTGCTCCTTTGGACAGCTCTGAATCATGTGAGTGAGGGGGCATTTTGTTCAGGAGACCAGACTAACTCAAGGCTGTATCTAGATGTAGTTAGATGCAGGGATCAGGACCAACTGTTCAGGTCACTGGTCCCTCCTGCCCACATGGTTGAGGAGGATCTTCTATCCCTTGGCTCCTTCTGTAATGCAGAGACACTTCAACATCCTGGGGCCACAGCTGCCCTGCAATGTCTGTATTGCATTAAAGCAAATGGTTTTGGCCCAACACTTTTTTGTTTACTTCAATATAAGCAATAAATGACATTGGCTCTGGTCTTTACTTTTAAGGTATTGTGTGGTATAAAGAACTTCTGAACAAAATCTGCACATTGTTGTTACCTATATGGACTTGGATAAGGCTTTAGTGTTACACATACTGGAATGAAAAACAGTTTTATTCTACTTTCTTCCCCTAGAAATTTCTCCCTGTAATGGTTCCTTATTACATATTTAATAACCTGAGAGTAAAAAGAAACTCACTTAGGTGCATCTTTGCTAAATCGGTCTGGATCGAAAGTCAGTGGATCCTTGAAATACTTTTCCATCCTTCCCATTATATAAGTGCTGAACTGTCAGGAAAGAGTTTATTTGTGTTAGTCAGGAGCAGCAGACTGAAACTGCCTCTTTGCTGTCACATGTTGAAAATCTTAACTGCCCTTCGCTCCCCAGGCAAAAACAATCCAGAATCCCAATTCATACCCCAGTTTTGGCTAAAATTTCAGAGAGGCCAGTAGAAACATGCCCAGGGAGGGTTTGGCCTTCTGATACCACAGACAGATTACATTTGGATCAACTGCAGCAGCTAAAAGCTACTACTTGTGGACGGGACTCACAAAAAGCGTGGTGTTTGCAGGAATTCTGATGCCATCGATGACGTGCTCCTTCTTCAACCAGCGTAAGGTGCCTGGGACAGGTGGGTACAGCCGCAGAGATTCCTTCAGAACCTGTGTCAGTGAAAAGCACAAAAGGTCAGTTAGCTAATACAGTGTAGGAAGCGGAAATAAAATTCATCTCTTTCCTACAGCTTTTCATTTTGGTTGAATGGGAGCTTCTGAGTTGTGGAACTGATGCTGGTCTATCTGCCTTGGGTGCCTGTGGGCAAAATATACGGCCAAGTCAGCTCCTTCAGGCCTCGTTCTATCTTACAAATGGTAAAGCACAGAGAAAAAGCAGCAAAAACCACAAGAGGGACCATGCTTTGAACAGATCTAACACCTCCAGTCAGGTCAACGACTATGTGAAAAAATACTGGGAAAGAAATTCAGAGGGAATATCTAAGAGTGAAGCCTCAGGCCTCCAATGAGCAGTTCTTGGCACCAGCTGCTACAAGGATGGGTGGTCGCTCCCACCTCCTTCCCGCTCTCAGGACCTCACTCCCGCTCCTGCCTTTGTCCTGCTTCTGCTGCTTGGGGAACTGAGCCAGTTCAGAGCATCAAAACGATAAAAAAAGATCTGGCAAAGGAAAATGAATAGGGAACAGCGAGAAAAAAATGGGATCAGAACATTTCTTTTGGTGGCAGTGAGCTGTGAGAATGGCTTATTTTATCAAAGTGAAACCTAATTAGCAGCACACATTAGCATCGCACTGCAAATGCAATTAACATTGTGGATGCACGAGTGGATTAATGAAAAAGAAGTATGGACAAAAGGATTCAGAATTGCCTGAGAACAGGAGAGTAGTCCCGTGGTCTCTGATACTCCAGTGATGGACTGGCTCTGAGGAAGGGTGACTGTAATTTTGGTTGTACAGATCCAAGTTTGTTCTGTTAAATAAACAGTCTGCTTTGAGAGGCTCTCATGTGATCTGTCTTGAAACTGAAAGGCTTAGATACCTCATCCTAATTGGAGTGGCGTAATTGTGATGGTGTTTGGAAAAGCCTAAGGAAACCTGCTGATTTCTGTAATCACACAGAGATGCCTTTTCCTTATGAGAAATACAGCTTTGAAATCTATCTGCTGTGCAAGCACACTGATTTGTAGGATGGGATATGGCAAATGGTAAAACACCACCAGTCACCTCGACAGGGCAGTTTAAGAGAAGAATGATTACGGCAGACTAAAAAAGTCACAGGGAATTAAAGCAGGGAGAATAGCTGCCAGGGCCACGATTCAGCCTCTCCTCAGGGCTACTAGTGTCCCCCACCTTGTAAAATAGGATACACAACACAAATGCTGGAGATTAGCCAAGGCCTGGCTTTGCAGTTCATTACCAACTATACCCAAGTCCACTTTTAGGACCAAAGTTTTCTCACACACACCCCCCCACATGACTGAAGAGGGTTTCAAATCTGAATAATAAAAATATTGCAATTGCCAAAAATAGCCATTATTTTTTGATGTTCTCAACTCCCACTAAGTCTATGGCACATGGTGAGATCATAGCTGGAAATGCTTTAACAATAATAAAAAAAAAATAAGAGTTATGAGGTTGGGAAGTGCCTGGGACTCACACACAGGTTGGGCTTGAAGTTGCAAACCCTTCTTAAAACACAACTATGGTTTCAGCTTCAACAGGCAGGCATTAAGCAACTCCACTCTAGCTCCCAGCCTGGTAGTAATTAAAGAAAGCAGTGAAGGAATCATGTGGGATTTTGGAAAGAAATTGAAGAAGCATCCTTCCCAACAGGGCTGGGCTGCCACAAACAGCTCATGACACCTGCCTGCTGACACTCTTTGGACAAACACTGTCAGGATCCAATATTAGCATTGCTCTTGAAATTTACAACTGTAGCACTCCTCTTGGAAGTTCCATGAGATGGCAGGAGTGCTACCAAACAGCTCTGACTGGTATTTTACCCCACTTCTACAGTACCTGTGATAAGTATGTGAGTTTGCCAAGATCCTCATAGTCAATGTCTCTCTTGGCACCAAGAACTTCATCCACTTCGGCCTGAAGTCTGCAGTTAAATTAAAAACTGTTAGTTGCAGACACTCAGTTCTTGCTAGGCAAGTTGACAAATTACACTTTTTTTTCATTTTCCAGACACTGAGTTGGACTTGGACTCCCATCCTCAGGCAACATGCCTACTGATTATCAACCAGCCTGCCTGAACCTGTGCCTCATATCAGGATGGAGCAATGTCCCTACAGTGCAACCAAATCAGGCAGAACTCAGGACCAGCTTTGTATAAAGGCTTTGAAAAAAATCACTTAGATGGATTTGAAGTAATTAATCTTAAGTTTTAAAAAAAAAAAAAAAAAAATCTATTTGGACTATGAAACTGTATTTAGGATGGGAGGTTAGAATTTATTGGAAATTGATCTTAGCCTTTAAATAATTATTATAATTAAGTTCACCTTGAAATTAACAGCAAGTTGGGTTTGCAAACTAGATTGCATGTACCTTTCCAGTATTTCAGGATGCTGACCCAGTGCCATTACTGTAAATGCCAACTGATTGGCAGTAGTCTCATGACCTAAAAACACACCCAAAAAAAGGTTTAAAGGTTAATATGAAATAATATAGTATGAGATGGCATACTAGTGTGACTGTGAACAGGAAACTTTAAACATCAATCCCCAAATGCTTAATATCCAGTACATTTTAATTTAAAGAAAACACTACAAGAGATGTAAATTCTACATAAGGAACATTCACAGATGACAAGAACAATACAAGCTGTCTTGCTCAACTCCAACCTGCAGTGGCTGCACATAGCACCTAGTCGTTATGAGCTCCCCAACAGAAGGGCCAATGAGGCTCAGTATTTGCCTTATTATCATTGCGGGACACACAGTCCGGCTGGGAAGCAACCATTTACTGGTTTTATGGGAAAAACAGGGCTTCTGATAATCTTTCTTTGAAATGGCTGGTTTAAGTGGGTAGTTTTCATTTCATCATGGACAGGCATATGTACAATTTTGAAGCATTACAGAAAGCAGACTTCCACAAAGATGTCATTTTTGTGAAAAAACAAAGTCAGTTTTGTGAAAGAACAGTGTTTTGACCTCATCCTCTTAGGAACTTAAATACCCCTGGTCCTGAAAAATTGATCCTTCTATATTGTTTGCCTCATGTTTCATCTAAGCCCCTGATTTTTTGACAGTGCCCTCTCCTTCCAACCACTGACTAATGCTCTTAAGGCAAGAATGGCATTTAACTGTGTGGGTGAAGTGACACAAAGACAGGTGGAATACATTACAGATGCTTTCAGTGGGGTTTAGCAGGATCTGCAAGGAAGAGTCACAACCCCCTGAGGAACATCCTTGCACCCCAGCAGGCAGTGCTGCCCTCTGCGCTGCAGGCTGGAAACTGCTGGCCTGGCATTATTGCTGGGTTGGTAAGACTGAAGGAGGACAAAGTATAATTTGGCTATGAGAAAACCAAGAGCTCTCTTCAGACCACACCCAGCTGGTTCTACGCCAGTGTAATGCAGCTGTCTTCCAACCAAGTGACTCCTGATTACAGCAGCATCACATGGAGTGAAAAAGGACATTAATCATGACCCTACAGATGGCCCAAGTACAGCTTCCTACATGACATACCCAAATGTTAAAACAGCTACCAACCTGCAACAAAGAAAGTGATAAAGTTATCAATAATGTTTTCATCATCTCTAGTTTCCTCCAGAGCTGTCAAGGGAGAAAAGCAAAGAAGATTAGAAAACATGTCCATGTCCCAGGTGGAACAGCCAGAATGCTTTTCCCTGCTTAGCAAATTTTGTCTCAGGTGACATCAGGAGGGGATGCTGACCAGAAAACTCAGAAGGGACTTGCAACCAGTATTTGATCCAACACACAGAAATGGGCAATTTTCAAAGCAACTCTCACTAACTTCAGAGTGAAAAAACCCTCCTGAAGACATCACAGGATCAAAGTTCAGATCCCCAAAGTAAGCCTCCCCAGATCTCACAGCAAAACATGACACAGATAAATTAGTTCCAATAGCAACATGTCCCCTACCATCTCCTTTCAGTATCTGTGTAAGAATATCCAGTGTGGCTTCCTTCCCATTCTGGATTGCCTCTCTCCTCTGGTCAATGCACTCCTTCCCCACACGCCGCAGCAGCCTCACGCTCTCCTTCACCTCCCTGACCAGCTTCTGTTTCCCTGGCATGTACTGAACATAAAGTTTTTAGTCTTTTTATTCACCTTGTTGGTAAAAAATGTTGCCAAGTGTTACTTTTCAAGTGAGCACCTTGTTTTCTGCTAAATTACATTTGTCACAAAAACATCAGCTCTTCATGGAACAAAGTGAACACCCCCAAGGGTGATGGGTTTGGGCTGAAATGAGAAATACTCCAATTTGGGCATGCTGATGTCTCACCTTGTCAGAGCTGATATTCTTGAGCACTGTGAGCAAAATTCCTCGTATCTCCATGGAGAGAAACTGCAGCATGTGATACAGAATCTCTCCTCTGGGCCCAAAAAGGAAAACAGGAGCTCTAAACACCTGAACTACAGCTCTCATGAGAAACTGCAGAATGATTTTTAACTTAACTATTTCAGATTACATCCCTAATTTCCTAGTATATGAATTCTGGTTGAAAAAAAAGAAAAAATATTATAAGAAAGTTCAAATTTCTTCCTGAGTGAAGGCTGCCATTCTTCTTGGACAAATGGCAAAAAATTCAGTTTTTGCAGTGATGGATATGAAAGTGTAAAAATACATGAGATCATGTGCATAGGGGAAGAGAAGGCAGTAAGACAGAAAGGAAGCATTAAATATTAATGCTACTTTTGCAAGTGTTTTAAAGCACTAATTAATTGTAGCTCAATGAACACTGGAGGTTAAGAGCCACTGATAAGCCTTTCCTTGCCATACATGGACCCTGCCCAGCTTCAGCCCACTCAGGGCAGGAACAGGGGCTCCAGCTGGGCATGAGAAGAGAGGACTCGAGTGAGGTGCATACAGACCCGTATGAAGGGGATACGCTGCTTGGTCATTCCCTCCAAAACCATGGTCACAGCATGAGGGAAAGGCGTCTGGTCATCGCTCAGTGCGTTTAGTTCCATGCCAAAGGCTACCTGAGAAGTGGGAGAGAAAAAGGCAGCAACACACTGCATCCTCCTGGCTCCCTGGGGTTGGGTGAAAGATTTTTTCCCTAAAAATACCTGAGGAGACATCCTGCCTTGGAGGAGGTCATGAGGGAAAGTTAGTGTCTATATTATGCTTCCTCCTTATTTGGAGGGTTAATAATTTACTGTTACTTTCCATTCACCTCAAACTGCTTTGCATAGAGAAGGGAAAAGCCAGCATAAAGCAATTTCATGCTGACATATAATGGTAATAATACAACATCCACACATGAACAGATACCGGTGTTGCCCTTTTGGCAAGAAGGGGTGGAAGGCACAAGGCTGTAAGAGCCTTGGGAGCAAAGGGCTCCCCATCCTGGAGGCCACACCTAGGCTGTGCAGACCCTTCCCTAACTGCCTCTTCCTATGGCTCAGCCCAAATGGTTTCTTCAGCTCATCTGGCACTGATGGTTAAAGGTGTTGTTCCCTGACTCCGACTGCTGATCTCTTCCTGCTACTAGTACCCATTACTTCCACTCTTTCCTGGCAGTCGCAGAGGAAACAAGAAAGCAGACAGCTGGTACCTTTGCAATGATATCCATAGTCACTCGGTTCATCATCGTCAGCATGCTAAACTCTTTTTTTCCATCTGCCTTTTCCTCTAGTTTCTCCATCAGCTCCTCTGCTTTTTCATTAAAAGTTTCCATCAGACCAATCAGGTAGCTGAACAATCAATAAAAATGAGTGATGGGGGCTCTGGAGAGGACACTGTTGCTCAGGCAAAATTATTTTCAATTGAAAATTGTAAAGGACTCTTGTTTTTTTAAATTTATAATAATTTGGCCTTAATACTTTAAAAAGCAAACAGATAAAATGAGTTAAATTCTTCTTACAGCTGTCCTGCTCCATCCTGCCATGTAAACAACGGCTGTCATGGCAAAGGGCTTTGGTCTGGGTGTCCCAAGGCAAACAGACTTTATCTTCACATCCTCAATGCAAAGCACTGAGGTACACACAAGCAAATGAGACCAATCCTCTGCTTATCAATCACACCGTATCTCCCATGGGGAAATCACTCAGGTGAATCATGAGGCTTGCCCACATCAAATTTCTGAGGTCTGGGACCTTTCTGCCATCACTGAGCTCATGTGGGTGCCAGTCCCACATGGCAAGACTGCTCAAATTATACTTGCCCTGGAAAAGGCACATTGGACTAAATGATTTTGTCACAATTTTTTTTCCTCTTTCTATATATCAAGTAATGGATCAATGACAGAGAGAATAATGAAAATATACTAGAAACAACAGCTCTGCCATCACAGAGATATTTGCCTTACGTTCGGCTGAAAGCTGGATCCATTATCCTCCGCTGCTTGTGCCAATGCTCGTGGTCGCAAACAGTTACCAAGCCATTTCCTATAAATCTAGCATTTAGGAACACAAAGAACAGTTTTCAGCAAGGGAGCCAACCAAACTCTGTGTAGTCACGAAGATAACTCTTCCACACCTACTTTCTTCTATTCTTCCTGTGTGCAGGGAGTATTGGGCTGCTTGGAGTACACAGTCATTGCATCACTGTGGACAATGACTGGACCGCAGATACGTTTTGGCTGGCAGGTGTTAACTGCTGATCCAAGTAAGGTGCTGGTTTGTGACAGCTGTTATACAAATGATTACTCTAATAACTGGATTATTTATTTTTTTTTACATCTTTAGGCTAACAGAGAAAAATCCTCATTTTTGTTATTGAGCTTAGAAGTTAGAAACTCCCATACATTAAGGAGTAATTCAGTGCCCTAAAATCTATGTGAGAAGTTTAATAATGATCTTGAGCAAACTATTCTGAGACAAACTGAACATCAACGGGGGGGGGAAATATATGATGAAGGTAAAAAAAAGAAATCCAACATAACCTCCTCCCGGACTAGGAAGACATCTGTCTTGACACATAATTTAGTAGGTACATGTTGCTCATGTAAGTCTGGAAATAGTCATCAAACCCAACATTAAGGTAAATGGTCTGAGTCAAATAATGTCATAGATATGATACTTTATCTTTCACCTATTTTCAGATCACAATGGTCTCAGATGGGTTTTGCCTACCTCTCACCAAATAAGTTGCAGATACGACCATAAATCAGCCGATCCTTTGGGTACTGAGGTGACATCAAGAACTCCTAAAATCAAATCTCAGGTCAGTGAATAGCAAGTGCAACCCGTTTCCCAGACAAAACATAAAAAGGCACTCACACATTCCCTCTTTTCCTCCTGTAGCAATAGTCTGAAGACTAGATGAATTATTTGGTGTGCCCTGATTCCCCAGTTCCTGTGCTGCTAGCTTGTTTTGCATGCCTCTAGCACTTTTAGCCCAGTGACCCGAAATCTCACTCTACAGTTATTGCAAAGTTTTAGAGAAAGACATTAAGCCCCTTGTGCCTTGCCCGTTTGAGATAAAGCTCTTGCAGAGAGGCTGCTTTTCAGAAATGGTGGATGCTTGGTCTATCTGCTGTTTAAATAAAGGAACAAACTAAATCAACTGGTCAAGAAAGAAAATACATCAGGACAACCCTGAGAGCAGAGCACCTTATCCTCCTAACCTGGCCAGAGCTGCCCCCTCCACAGGCACAGGCTGGCTGCACTGCGATGCCCTCAACATCAGGCACCAATCCTCTCTTTCTGGAGGGATAGGCTGATCCCCACAGTTGATTTGGATTTACTTTGAAGTACCTTCACTCCTTCAGGACTCAGAATCATTATTGACACTCTGTGAAAGGCATTAAACCGTACAATAGGTCCGTATTTCTCTGCCCTACAAGAATGGGAAAAAAACAGAATTATGGTACAAACAACCAACATGTAACAGTTTGGATATAATAACCTCAAAGGATCAAAGCAGCACTGGGAACTACTGCAGTTTTCAGCAATTAAGAAAAGAACAGTGATATCCCTCTCTAGTTCATCTACCAACCTTATGATTGATGCTAAATATGTAATTCATGGCCTCTGTGCCTTCATTTCCCTATTGGTGCTACAAGGCTATCCCATTTGGTGTTACTGATGTGTCTCAACTTACCAGTGCAGGAAGAGATCATGCATAAACTCCTGCTTCCTCAGCATTCTCCAGAAGATTGGCAGATGACCAAAGAAAAAGCTGCAGAAAATGAAGATGAAGCTTGTCACAAGGATGCAAACAAAGGGCTTTGTATGGATTACAATCTTTGTTGCTCAGTGATGCAATACAAGTGTTACTCATATTTTCCTCCTTGTAAGGAAAGATAAAAATAACACCTGGCTGTGGCAATGCCCAACCCTCACATGGGTAAACTGGGGACCAGGGTCAGGCTGGTGCCCTCCCACATCAGGAAGACCAGTGCAGAAATACAGGACAAGATCTTTTTTTGCTGCTCTATTATAGGAGATGTTTGGGCCTGGAGGGGGCTCCCAGCAAATTGCTTTGCTCTTTGCCTCACTGACTGAATCTCCACTGCAACTACTACATTTCTGTAAATGCAACAGACATTTGTCCTAAATATTCTTTAATACATTCTCAGGCCTGATGAGCATGACTTTGGTTCTGTCAGTGGAGTTAAATTGAGCAAAATTAGGAAGATTCTCTTGTCTAAAGCCATGTCACCTCGAATGCTGAAACAGACAAATAAACAAACAAAACAAGCCCAGAAGACTAATCACTGGTTAATATGGAAATTGTGGAAATGAATAAAAGGGGTTAACTCTTAAAATACAATAGCTGTACTAAAAAATTAAAGATCAATCACTTCCTTTGGCTGTGAGTAGGAAATTCCCACTAGTTTTGCGTAAATCTGGAGGAAGACTTGGCCAGGCTCCTCTCTAAGTGAAGCAAGCTGAGCTTGAGATCTGTTTTCCATTTGAGAGACAGACAGCCATGCTATCATCCTTTTCAGTACAAACAAGTTACAAGGAAAAACAGGCTCTTAGTTTATTTCTGTTGGACCCAGGAGGCGATTAAAATAACAAGCACTCAATAAAGTAACCCAACATCTACAGAAACTTTTATCCGTCACTTTTCTGATTTCTGCACTGTAACTGCACTCCAAAAAACATCTAAAAGCCCCAAATGCAACAGATGAGTCCTTTGTTAGCTAAAGGTCTGGAAACCACTATCTGCAGCACATGAAGCAAGGTTCCACTCATGGCTCCTCTTGTGTAACACATCAGTCCTGAAGAGATTGTTTTTCCTCTCCTGTCCTACCACCACCCAATTAAGCCAGGCATTAAAACAGACCTAAAACATGAATCCACTAATGAACAGTCCCAATTACTTAGTGCATGCCATGAAAAAAAACTAAGCAAGGCCTTGATTTGGGTTGTATAACTATGTGACGGTATCATCTGAAAACATGTATTTGCAAATAAATCCCTTTTGTCTATTTCTTGCTATTACATCTTCAAAGGTTTGCTTTATATTGAACAGATGACACCCATCCTTCAGAGGTGAGCCATTCATGCAGTAAAAATGACACAAAGCCACTAGGACTCACTTTTCCAGCTTGTCCTGCACAAGTCTCCTTATGAGAGGAGCCCAGGATATATCAGCCCAGGATATCAAGGGTGTTAATCTTGTCATCATGCAGCCATAAGACCTTAGACAAAGTCCAAGACGTTGAAAAGATCCTGCTGTACTTCATTGTAAAACAAGGCTTCCTTATGCTTTTATCAAAGGGAGCCAAGGGCAAAGGGAAAGTAATGCATAATGCCTTGGAATTATACAGGCTGTGGGCAGGCTGGGGAGTAGATCTGCTGTCCACAAGCTGGGAGCTGGTCCCACTGGGCAGCAAGCTGGACACAAGCTAGCCTTTGGTTTTGGTGCTGCTCTTCTCTAGATAGCTAGATACAGTCACAGCTGAGAAGTGTTTAGATTTTGATTAATTCATTTCAGAACAATTCAGGTTGGCAAGGACATCTGGAGGCCACCAATCCAGGCAATGTCAGAGCATTACACAGCTCAGGGCCTCACACAGTCCCTTGTGCCAGTGTTTGAGAACCCTCATGGTGAAGGTGTTTGCCTTACACCTAACTGGGATTTATCTTGAGACAACTTGCAACTGTTGACCTTTGTCCTTCATTTTGCAACTCCAAAAAGAGTCTGGCTCCATGTTCTCATAACCACCCCATTAGGTAGCTAAATACCACCAGTGGATCCCCCTCCTCCACCTAAAACAAACCCAGCTCTCAGCCCCCCAGGCACCCAGGCTGCCCTCCACTGGACTTGCTCCAACATTGTCAATGTCATTCTTGTGGTGCCCATCACCATGCACAGCACCTGGCTTTATGTTTTTGGCAGTTTTTTTAATATAAATGACAGAGCTGGATTTGATTTTCCTTACCTTGGACATATAAGAGTCAAGTGTCTGTGCAACACGTACTGAGATGCGGGTTACAGACTGTCTTTGAAAACTTATACTTTTGAAAAGCTATCAAGTAGTGTAGGTGGAAGCTTGCATACGTCATGTGAGCCCAGACACCCTTCCAGGGAAGGATCCTAGGCTGATCATCAACATCAAGCCTCAAACCCTGAAGAAGGGACAAAAAAGCAGCCACAGGTTTTCTCAAGCCGCCACGACTCCAGGGTGTTACTTCACATCTCTAAACGAAACTAAGGACAAGCAGGTTCTGGTATGACAAGATCCATCCTCTCCCTAATCTTCGTATCTTACCCCGACCGCACACGTAGGGCTGACACGTGGAGTTGGGCAGCCAAGCTTCGTGTCCCGGTAGGACTGACCGTGCGCAGGGCAGCGCTGGCGCGGTGCCTCCTTACAGAGCATGTGCACCAGAGGGCTGAGCGGGGAGCCCGCACACTCCTGGAAGAACCTGTCTCCTTGTGACAGCACTGCCACGGCTGGCAGCCTTCTCACCGCACTCCACGACTTACGACATCTTTTTGGCACAAACCCGGCTCAGGAGGGGCAGCAGGGAAGGTGCCTGCCGGAGTCAGTGCCCGTGTGACCCCGGGAGCTGTGCGGACGGGCGGGCTGGGCCGCTGCAGCGCAGAAAGCCCCGCCTTCAGTGGCCGGGGGGCGCGGCGGGCCC